AACATTCAGTGCCACATAAGAAATAAAATTGAAGCATTGATCTTAATCTTCAAATATAGGATAGCTTTAATATTAAAATTAACATATAAATTTAGCATCCATCTTATTTTCAACTCACTTCTGCTGAGTAAATGCACATATAAAGAATGAATCACTGAAACAGTATGCAGTGAAATCAAGTTCATTTTTCAAATATGTCAGTTCAAAAGCAGTCAGTGCCTGTTTGCTGGGCACCCAACAAATGTTCCCAAGATGCACCTGTCCCTCCCATCACCTCCCACTGGTCTAGCCATAGTGCCACCAGGGAACCGTGGGAGATGAGTCTGTGATGAGCAAATCCAGTAATATGTGACTGCTACCCAGCATAAGCCGTCCTATGGCGCAACTTCATTTAATAAATTGTAAATGTTGTTAGACACTTAGAAGCCTGCCACTTAACTGTAACAGCCTGGACCAGAGGGCTAGAATCACTGCACCTTCTCCATGGTACCTGTTGTCCTTCCAGGTTGCTCTCCTATTAATTTCAACCACAGCCACGTACCTGCCTAACAAATGCCTTATTTCTCAACACATCTGCAAAACTACTTTTGTTTTTCGCATCATCAAGAGTGACACTGCACAATAAGATATCACCCCACACCTGTCAGAATAGCTATTATCAATAAATCCACAAATGACAAGCATTGGCAAGGATGTGGAGAAAAGGAAACCCCTGTGCACTATTGGTGGAATTATAAATTGGTGTGGCCACCAGAGAAAACAGTATGGAGGCCCCTCAAAAAGTAAAACAGAACTGCAATATGACCCAGCGATCCACATTTTGGGTATATATCTGAAGAAAATGAAATCACTACCTCAAAGAGATATCTTCACTCCCGGGCTCATTGCAGCATTATTCACAACAGCCAAGGTATGGAAACAACCTAAGTATCCATCAGTGGATGAATGAATAATGAGATGTTATTAACTGGGCTGCAATAAGCCAGTCACAAAAAGACAACTACTGTACCATCCCACTTATCCATGGAATCTAAAAAAAAACAATCATAGACACAGAGAGGATGGTAGTGGCCAGGGGATGAGGGGTGGGAAAAATGGGGGGATGTTGGTTAAAGGATCCAAGCTTCCAGTTATAAAATAAACAGGTGCTAGGGATCTAATGTACAGCATAGTGACTATACTTAACAATATTGTATTGTAGAGTTGAAAGTTGCTGAGAACAGATCTTAAATGTTCTCACCACAAAAGGAAAAGGTAATCATGTGAGGTGATAGATTTGTTAATGAACCTTGCTGTGGTAATCATTTCACAATACATCAAATCATCACGTAGCATACCTTAAACTTACAAATTGTTATACATCAATTACATCTCAATAAAGCTGGGGGAGGAAGATTATTGACTTTTCTTAAAACTAAAAGCTCTAGGGCAAAATCTATATTCCGGAGTCACTAGTAAAATAGGAATCATGAAATAATGAAGGATCAACAGCATGAACAGTGGGAGGAGCTTTAAGCAGCATGCCCCTTAGGGGAAAGGCTAGCACATTTATGCTAATCTCTGGCCCTTTACCAACCAGTAGCTTCTAAAACAGGCATTTCTGATCCCAATGTGAACTCAGTCTAATCATTAACACTGACACTACAGTTATTTGAATGAGGTCCAGGGCTTGTGCTAAGACCGCTTACATACTGAAGTATACGCTGGCCACATAAAGTAGATGGGGCGGAAGGACTAAAAATCTCCAGCAAGTCTGTATCCCTTAGCTCACCTCTTAGGCCTAGATCTTAGGGGAAAAATGAAGAATGTGATGCAGAATGAGGTGGTTCCCAAATCTTAGTGAGTTCAAGAATTAACCTGTAGAGGACGATAAAAATACAAGTGCTTAGACTACCACGGATTCTGACTCAATAAGCAGGGCCCGGGAATCTAAACTGGAAGGAAAGCACTGGGGTGCCTGGGCCACACTGGGAGACAAACTGCTGTGGAACGGCACACTAACCCACCGGCACACGTATTAAATGAACAAAGCGTTTACTCTAAGACTAGTCGTGGGCGGGTCCTCACTAGAAGGGAAAAGAAGCGCTGTGGTCTAATGTGGGTTAACTTGTGGTTTAATGTGAATTAACTTCCCATAAGGCTGGCTTGACTCAATTGCAAGTGGACACCCAAGCACCCTGATATTTGGTCTGTGTGACAGATGGGATTTAACAGGGAGTTGGCTGATTTTTTCTCTTTTTACCCAGATGTCCAGTTTCATGTGAAAGAGTAACTGGTGCCCCTGGGCAGACAAATGTTCATGCCCCATGAATTCTAGATGCCTTCACATGACGGTCTTCGAGAGTTGGGCTAGAATCATGTTAGCCAGAGGGGGCTCAGCTGTCCAGACTACAGAGGAAGCCAGACTGAATGCTCAAAGCCGGGTGTATGTTTTTCGTTTTTAACACCCAACTTCTCCCTTCTGACCCTCGACCACCCTTGGCCCACCACAGGAAACATTTCTTGCTGCAGAAGATTACACTGAGGATGAAATGTTCCCGGCCCCACCCATAAGGAAGCTGTCTTACAGGTGACCCCATTTTACTGGACACTGTAAAAAGAAGTCATCAACTCTGACCACCTGTGGGTGAACTCACCCCATAAGAGCACTGTATCTTAACCAAGTTTTGTTCAGTCCACACCATTCAGGCTAGAGGGGTAACAGTTGAAGACTCTGTAGCACCATCAGCTCACATGGGATCTGTTATCATTGTGTTGCTTGTTAAATAAATGTAGAGAAACTGTTCAAATGAAGACACCTTTGCAAACACATCTGTCTTAGGTAGGCCCTGACATTAGCCCATCACTACCACATAAAATGTCCTAAACATGTGTCTTCAGAGTCGGAGGTCAAAGTATTCCTCTCCACTTCCTCGCTTTCTTCCTTTATGTAAACACTAATGTTTAAGTGTAACTCTAAATCACAGTTACTTTTCAACATTCTGATATGTAACTATGTCAATTAAATACACATTTGTCCAACGAAGAATAATGAATTTTCCCCCCTCAGACATATCTCCTTCCAAAGGTGCCCAGCATAAATAAAAATGAGATGGCCCTTCGGTTGCAAACACCTTTTCTCCTGGGGCCCAAACAAGGGTGGGAGGCGGCTCTGGCTCAGGCGGTTGAGGGAGCATCTCAGGTCAAGAGGACTCTCCCTCCTCTCCCCCAGGCTAACCCCCTCAAGAGTTCGCCTTGGCCTGGGAGTTCTCTCCACATCTCTGTCATGGAGATGCTTTTATTTGTTTACTCATTTCCTTTCCCTTCCACTTCATAAGTTTGTCTGACCTAAGCAGTCATCTTTCCGTTCAACTGCCATGAAGAATGAAAACAGTACAAGAAGTGGTTGGTATGGCTGGTGTGGGCACTACTAAGTATCATTGTTTTAAAACTCATTTTTAAACGTATCTGAGCAAGAAGTCTGACATATGTAGCACTCCCAAAATGCTTTAAAAATTGAGGGGAGCATTCAGATGGTTGGGTGTTCTCCCACAAAGTGAAAGGTTGCTGGTTCGATTCCTGGTCAGGGCACATGCCTGAGTCAGGGTTCGGTCCCTGTTCAGGGTATGTAGAAAATGCACCTGATCAATGTTTCTCTCTCACATCAATATTTCTCTCTTACATCAACGTTTCTCCCCATCTCTTTCTCCCTGCCTTCCCCTTTCCCTAAAAATAAATACATAAATAAAAATCTTTACCAAAATAATAAATTAAATTAAGGGATAAAAGCTCTGGTTTTCAAAGTTTTGTGGTGGTCATCTTCTCCAAGTGACAAGAGGGAATTCCCTTCTACATCCTAAATGCAAAGCTGCTGAGCTGAATTAATAGGAGTAATGGTTCTCATATACTGAGTGTTTTCTCTGCCAACACTGCACTCACTTCCCATATGGTGGACTGTGTCCTGTCCACTTTGTTTCTAATGGGATTCTCCATCATCCTCCCTGCTTATCTTGGACACATGGGCAGGTAATTTGGACAATCACGTACAAGGAGCTTTCTGTTACATAATAGGCACTCAGGAAGTATCTGTTGAAGGAATAAATGAATGGATAGAGGGAATGAATTAACTCTATTCTTGAACAATAACTTCTTTCTGATTGTAGCCCCAAACTCTGTCATTCATGTTTCTCAAGGAGTGTGTCACTGAACTGACACCTTGATTGGGGATCTGTGCGCTAGTAAGTAGCATTTACATCAGGTTTCTATTTTTAGAGATCCTCTTTCCACAGTAGAAATGACATAAACCAAAATCATCTCCTTAGTTTATTTCTTCTAGAGTCCTCAGCATGCTACATTAACCTGACAAAGCTTAATCTTGTGTTCATTTCACAATACATTTCATGCAGTTCACAGCTGTGATTGGTTTTACATTGACATTACACATGTTTCGATTCAGCCATGTGAAAAGAATAATTCTTAATGGAGTCTGTCTCTGAAAACCGTCCAGGCTTAAATAAGCATGTGAGCAGTTTGCTCTATTCTTACGTGCAGTCTCTCTTTAAAATGCAAGAAGGATTTTTAGCGTAAGAATATAATGTCTCTGTTTATAGTCCATTTGCAATTGAACCACTTCCTTTAGGTTTCACATATCCTGAGGAATCCTCGTTTACAAAACTGCATTCAAGTATACTATTTTATTGAACATTCTGACCTTCAGCTTTACATCCCCAAATAAATCTCCCCTGGACCCAGCTTTCCCTAGACTATTCTTAGCATTAGACTTTCTTTTACAATGAACATTTAGCACTAAAGCCACAGAGCAGAGCTATTTGGCATTTTCCAGTGAAGTGCAAGAAATTAAATAAGTTATGTTTTTATTGCTAAGGTACAGAATCAAGCACAGTCACTCTGTCAAACAGAAGGAAAAGGTGTACACAGGATGTGGCCTCTCCTCAGGGTCCCCCCACCAGGCTTCAAATGCACAGAACATGTCGCCTGGTCACCTCCCATCTGGTGCCACTTTAAGATGATGTGTTGAGTATTCTGGAGTCTGAGGAGTCAGACCTCTCGTCATAGTCATCCTCAGTGTAAATGGACTGCTTTGACACAATCGGACAGCCATCATCAGGGATGGAGATCCGAGGGTCTTCTGGGGTGCGAGTGGGGAGGACAGGCGAGCTTCTGAAGACGCTGGCAGAGTTACTGGGGAACGGGCTGACGTACTGGGACCTCAGCTGGTACTGCTGCTGCAGCGTCATGGTGTTCCACAGGGTGACATCGTTGGGCAAAAACGGGCTCGACTGGTTTCTTGCCAAAGTATTCCTCAGCATGAGTGGGTACCGGGGTGGCTGGGGGAAAGGGTGCTGCAGGGGGACGGCCAAGGGGTTGGGGACAACGTTACTCGAGTCAGCAGAAAACCTCAAAGTGTCTGGGACTCTGAAGGCTGATCCCACTGACCATTTGGAAGAGGAGATGGGGTAGGAGCTCAAGGTGTGTTCGAAGATGTGCCCATTGGAGGGCAACACCAGACTCTCCGGCTCTGCTGAAGTTCGGTCAGCCCCGGAGACTGAGGATCGGCTGGAGAGCAGGACCTCCACGGCGCTCACCAGGTCTCCCCCACAGCCCTTCAGGATCAGCTCAAGCACTGTGGGCTTCTGGTTGGGGAATATTTTCTTTAACACTTCCAGTGGGGGTCTGTTGGCTTTCAAGCTGAAGGGCAGAGACACGGTCCCTGAGGGGCCCTCGATCAGAAGGTGATTCTGTTCCCCATGGTACTTGGGACTGTCGGAGCGGCTGTCGGAGTTGCTGCCGTTTTTCTGGACTGCATACCCACCTTCATCCACCGACACTATCTCAGGGCTCTCGGGGGTGAAGCAGCCCTTACTTTTTGCAACATCTGGGGAGCTCCTCTGGTCGGTGTCTTTGTCGCTGAAGGTCTCTGTGTTGTCTGCCATGCTGCTGTCCCCAAGTCGCTCTTCAGTCAAATCTGAAAAGCAGGGAACAGCTGTGTTAATCCTTTCCCGGTGTGCATAAAGAGGAACAGATGTGCTCAGGAGAGAGCTGTGCACAGGCTTTCTGGAAGGGGAAATGCATCCCGGTGGGTTACAACTTACCACAAGCCTTGAGAGGAAAAAAAAAAGAAAAAGGAGGTAATTCAAACTATGTCATTGGCAAATGGCAAAAAATAAAATAAAATCAAACAAAAAACCAAACCCAAAGATAGAGATCTAGAAACCAGAGTGACTTCTCAGAATGGTGTGTGCTGGGAAGCTTGCCTTAAACACGAAGGGAAACACGGCAGCCAGACCCACAGAAGACGAGGCCGTGCAGCAGCACAACCCAAACAGGGACGTCCCGCAGGCTGGGCATAAACACAGCCCAGGGAAGATCAGGAAGATGAGCTCAGGCTTTTCTTCTGGCTCCTCTTCTGCAAATGAGGTGGCAGGTGTAATCTAAGGGCATCATTGGCTGGTATGTAACCCATACACCACAGAAAATTTTAATATTTAAATCCCTTTTGCCAAATGAGGATTTCTTACTAAATGTCTTGTGAACCAGGCACCAATGTTTCAACAGGATACTGCACAATCACTGGTTGATGTAACTGCCAGAGTGAAAGAAGGCAGCCTCTGGACACTGAAATCTTTCTTAAAAACCACCTGCAGGACTGGCAGACTTGGTTGTCCATAACTCGCATTAGAAGGCAAGCAAAAACAGCTGTGCATTCTGGATGATGGGACAGGCCATGGGGAAGGAAGGAGGAAGTGACATGGGAGGGCTGCACGAGGCGCACAACCCGTCTATGAGACAATGCGTCCTTGACGCCAGGACCTGCAGTACGAGAGGGAGGCAGGTTTTCATGTACTGTTTTATTTTTATTAGTAAAGTTCATGGAAAAAAACTTAAAGAAACCTTCTTGAATTATTTTAAAAGAGGAAAAAAGCTTCCTAGATAAGCAGAGATTTGCTGTGAAATAAACTAGTTATAAATTTACATTTTGACCCAAGACATTACCCAGATGGCTAGTATTACAGTGCTAACCAGGCGGAAAAGAGAGATAAGACTGGTTTCCTTGCAGAAATTCTAACAGACCTTTATTATAAAGAAACATATTCTTTATTAATAAGCTATACACAAGTGGATTTTTATCCTTCTTAACACATGAACTGGCCGTGTCTACTCCAAACCAATGTAACTGATCTAAAGGTGAAAATTATTAATGACTCACTTGTCGGGCTATAAACAATTGGTTTGACTGTGTTTTCTACTTCCCTGCCTGAATAGCCTCATTGTCGCCGCCTCTGAGGGCGCACCTGATTAGTGCACACAGCCAGTTGGTGAAATTCTATCAAAGTAGCTTCTAAAATCCATCTCCTGTTTGTTGTTGTTTGTTTTAAAAGCCTTTAACAAAGGTCCATTTATGCACATTCTTCTAATATGGGCTGTATCTTAAGTATAACTGAAAAACAAATCTTCAGTTCTTCACAAAGCAATAAATTATGTGCCAGGCATAAATACTTAAAAATATATTCTTAAATTAGATCAGTGCAATTTTCAGTCATAAATCTGATATGAATTCATATTTATCCCAAATTTATATTTGAAGTAAACTGCTTTCTTTTCTATATGAAATATAAGATTTCTATATGGGGTCCATTTACAGCCCACACAGATAAGCCATCTCTGCTTTCTACAACTCTGTGATGCAAAAAAAAACCCATCTTTGAAAGAGAAATTTGACATACTCTCTCTTCCAACTTCCCAGGACTGGAGACCCAGCTTTCCTTTCCTGAGTTAATGTGGTACTTGTACTTCATCCAAAAGAGAAAAACAGCACCCAAAAAAGCTTCTATAAATTCATATTCTAGCCCTGGCTGGGTGGTTCAGTTGGTTGGAGCATCATCCCATACACCAAAAGGTTGTGGGGTTGATTCCCAGTCAGGGCACGTACCTAGGCTGTGTGTTCAATCCCCGATCAGGGCAGGTACGGGAGGCAACCAATTTATGTTTCTCTCTCTCCCTTCTTCTCTCTCTAAAATCAATAAAAACATGCCCTCAGTTGAGAATTTTTTCACAATAGAAAATCATATTCTAATCAGCTGGGCCTATCCAAATATTCCTGACCCCTGACCCCATGCATGCCTCTTAGCCCTTCCTCTGTTAGACACCTGGAAATGAGTGGACAGTGACAGCACGTTAATTGAGCACTGACTGAACGCACAACTGCATTTTGGTGCCTGCTCAGTGGAGCTCAAAAGAACAAGTCAAATACTCTCGCTGAGCAAATATGGACATAAAATAATGTTTTACATATTATGTACTTCTAAACAGTTTTGTTATTTCTTTAACTTTAGCTTTCATTATCTGTTATTATCAGTACCAAGTATTTGTGTCCCTATAATGCACAAGGTACTGAAGATACAGCATGGATGCCAGAAAATACAGGAAGTATGAGGCTTGCCCCCAACTTGTGGAACTTATTAAGTTGGGGTGATAAGACGCATGTACAGGGGGAAAAGCACACACACCCAGGCAGACTTGCTAAGCATCAAATGTAACACACTACACAAATGTTCATAGCAGCAGCATCCACAAGAGCCAAAAGGTAGATACAACCCAAGTGCCCACAGATGGATAAATACATAAATCAAATGTGGTCTATGCATGCAATGGAATATTATTCAGCCTCAAAAATGAAATTCTGACATGTGCTACAATATGGATGAACCTTGAAAACATGCTAAATGAAATAAGCCAATCATGAAAAGACAAATATTCTATGATTCAACTTCTATGAGGTACCTAAAATAGGCATAGTCATAGACTGGTGGTTACCAGGGGCTGGGAGAAAAAGAGAATAGGGTCTTATTATTTAACAGGTATACGGTTACTGTTTGGGATGATGAAAGAGTTCCAGGAATGGACAGTGGTAATGGCTGCACAACAATGTGAATGTACTAATGCTACCATGCATTACACCCTAAAAATGGTTAAAGCAGTGAATTTTGTTATGTATATTTTGGCATGATAAAAAAGAAACATGACACACAGCATCATAGTGATGTAGCAGGGGGTGAGATTTTTTAAAGAAAAACAACCAGTTGTTCTAGAAAATAAAAGATGTGTAAGTATAGCTAAAAAGCTTAAAACTTACCTATTTTTTAAAAGTTGTTTAAGTGTTTTTATTTTATTTTTTACATTTTTATTGTATTTTTCCATCATCATTTACCCCCTTACACCTTCTCCCCGGCCCCTCCTGCAGTCACACTGTCATCCATGTCCACGAGTCCTTGGAGGGATCGAGCAAAAAAAGGGAAAACTTAGCTATTTTTAAAAGAAATGTGTGAACCTGAGAACCTCTTCCTATTTTGAAAGGTAATTTTCCCTATCCTGGATGACTTTCAGACACTGACAACATTTGGGGAAAAGGTTCGGAGGTCTATCAACCAAATTCACTCTTCCACAGAACGCTTTGGGCCCCAGAAAACGTGATTCAAGGAGGAGTTTAGCCAAAGGGGAACTAGGGAACGACGTTCTGGCTAACCTATCTACCACACTGAAAATGTAGTACTTTTTTTCAAGATGGCAAATGATACACCTACCCAATCAACTGGCTACAGGAGGGCAGGAGTGTAAGCCTATGACAATGTAAAGTTCCACTGGCGAACCTATTTTCCTGTTCTGCAGACCAGGCCACAATGGAATCTTGTATGGGTGCCCCCTTGTTCACAATTGTGACCCCTGCCCAAGACTGCAAAAGCCTGTTTCTAATTTTCTCACACTACTACCCTTTGCCTCTGCTACTGTGCTATGCCCAGTGCAGCATGCACTTCTGGTTATTTCTCAAGGAGTACTGGTGGATTGTGCTGATTCATCCATTCTCTCATGGGTTTCTGGGCTGATCTGCCTCTCTAACCGGGAATCCACTATGGCAAAAAAGTAAGAAAAGCTAAGAAGATGGCACAGGACTCAAATTACAAACTCAGAACATTCCAACCAACCAATTTCAACACTATTGATACTGTTTTCAAAGGGAAGACAAAGAGGTTGAAAGAAGTGATGAGTAGGAAGCACCTAGGGCATCCATACACCTGAGCGGCACAGAAGGGCCTGCTAGCGGGTGCTGGGTGAGCAGGACCCCAGTCAACAGCCAAGGCTTTTGGGGTTTCAAAACAGGGCAAGCCTCTCACTTGCACCAAAAGTAGGTCCTTTGCCCAACAATAATTTCTGAAAGCTGAATGCACAGTCCCTGCAATTCTGTGGCACTGTGGTATCTAGTGTCGTTGTATGTTGGCTGTATTATTGTACTGGAACTAGATGTTGTAAATTATTCTACTATGAACACAGACTTTCACAAGTAATTATAGAGGGTGAGTTGTGAGCCCAGTGATAAAGTGTAATTTAATAACAGGTGTTTCTTTACATCTCTAGATTTTTTCCTAAATAAACTTTATAAATTGTTCGCACTGGGTTAAAACACAAAGGCCTTTCTTGATATAGAAATGTCAAACTGCCAACAAACAAAACAAAAAGGAAACTGCTCCCCAGTGCTGTACCCCGTTTTTCCTTGAAACTGACACCATAATTCCTAGAACACAGAGTAAGAGCATATTTCAACTGATAATATTTTTACCCCTAATGTATGGGTATAAAAAGCCAAAACTACTAGGCAAAAACTAAGAAGAACTTAATTTCATCTGATATTATATACCACCTATTAAAAGTGATACATCTGCTGCTTCTAATGTTTAAACATATACATATTTTTAAAATCTTACTAAATGTTCACTCTTTAATTTCATATTTTTCATGATGTAAAAATACAGCCACCCCTAAAATAAACTTCACTAGGGTTAAAGTTTTTAAAAGATATTCAATTACAAAGGAAATTTTTATGTGGATAATTATATATATATATATAAATGAATGCCATAAGATAGCTATAAAAATTTAAGGAGAGAAAATGAACACACACACAAATAATTT